ACGCCTTCAGTTCTTAAGTCCACTCCCGTCAAAACCAACACGAATATCTGAGCCAGAACTGTCATGCCTTGAGCATCTGTTGCAACTTGTTTGGTACGCGAGGGGCCTGTTTCTATTTTTAGATTAAATTGTGGGTATCGGCGGTTACAGTTTATCAGAGGAAAATCTATCTAAAATGGAACCAAATATCTGAAGTTCTGGTCGCGAACGCCGAGTGTAACTCCGGTGTTTTGGTAAGATTTACGCTGCAGAATAACAGCCAATTACGTTGTGTTTGTTTTCACTTTGCGCCATTTCCTCTGCACTGTGAGCTACGTCACCAGGCCATAGGCTCACCCGCGCGGCACCAACAAGTCAGCGTCATTTCGTTTGGAGCGTCCGAACTTGGCGTCCAAGCCCTTCATGGTCTATTCGTTTTGGTAACGGCAGAAAGGTTGAAGACGACTTTATTCTGGGTTCTTGTTCATTACACCGTTGATGGAGGCAGCAGGGATCTCTGAAAATTCGATAAATTTTTACCGGACTGTGCAATGCAAGAACCCAGACGACAGCCAACTTCGGCAGGCACTGGTAGGCAGAAAATGCAAAAAGAGGAATTACACTAACTTCGTGAGTTTTCCCCCGCCACAACACCGAGGCTACCTCTGATATAATTCGCGAATTAGATCCGCCACGGAAACTTTTGAAAGAACGTATCCTTCAATTGTCCAAGCTGACTACTCGCGTGACATTTTAATCTACATCTTCAGCTGCATTACGATACGACCCTACCTCGGACTGAAGTTCACATGTGTTCGTAACTCCACGTCATATAATTACATGACAAACCCAAAGTTCCAAAATCAGTTCATGCTTCAGTTAGCTAAAATATAACGTAATTCCCGTTACAGAACATGTGCACGTAACATATGATATTTACTGTCCGTTACTCGAGAGAAAAACTTGACTTTCGCAGTGCCCACGGACCTTGGGGGCGCAACATACTGACTTCGTCCAAATTATAAATAAGGCTTTCGCCAAGCATAAATTTTCTGAAATGGAATCAGCTTCTAACCATCGGACATCAGCATTGATCCACACTGCCAAGGCCAAAGCTTTTATGTTTATTGTTCTCGAGTAAGAGACATTTCGTTAGTATTTGTGCGAAGTTTCCCACGTCTTCCCACTTAATGTTCTTGTAAAGACATTTGCGAAGATCGTTAAGTACTCACAATAATTACGTAATGACTCAGCAAGATTGTCTTCAGTCTACCTCCGACAAACCGAACACGGTGGCAGAGTGACTCGTTTTCGCGTTTTCCCGGTTCGAATTTCTGCTCGGAGCCCGTTAAACTGACTGTCGTACTTCGTTGTCTCGCATAGGAGGAACGTACAGGCAAATTCTGGGGCAGTATATTAAAAAAGGCTACGGTTGCTTCTAGCAAGACTTTCACAGGTCACACTAACATGTACGGTGCTATATGACCAGTTCCGCTGATAAATAATCATCGAATGAACAGTAAGTCGATATTCGATTAATTATTTGGACGCAGAACGATTTTGGGCACACTTGTCGGAAAAGAATGATGTACTAACAGGAGGTTGTTAGAAATGTTTTAGCAACTGACACAAAACATTTCTCCTGTCTCTTACATTTGACCAGGGGAGAGTTGAGCTACTTCTCTGGCGCATTGCGCTCAGTTGGTATTATCTGTGGTTGGTATTTTGTGGCCACCAACACTGGACCCAGTCCTTCAGAAATGGAGCGGCAGACGGAAGACAACATCTGTAGGCTGAGCATGTAGCTGCTTCAATCCACGCCTTGCAAATAATTGAAAAGTCCTGCATTTGTGAAAGAACTCTCATGGTTTCTCAAAGAAACAGCTTTTACTGAATGAAACTGCGTCGTCAAATGTTTGTAGTAAGACAAATCATTTCCCTCCGACCAGTGAGTGACGTGTGGACGCAAATGGAGCTAAGTCAACACAGAATTTTCACTTGCGTCCTGTGTTATGGAGCTCATCCACTGAAAGTTCAGCAGAAGTTAATCAGAACGTACTCCGAAATACGTGGCGAAATGTTTGATGAACTCGACGGCAATCTCGGAGTTGATGCAACTACTACAATTGCGTGCACAAAAATTACCATTTTTACGATGACGAACTCTAATAGATCTGTGGCCGTCCTCTCATTATCTTCATGACTATTTAAACACAAATAGACAATTCTGCAAAAAGCAAAGTCAGGAGGGAAACAACAAGCCGACTGCCTTTTTCATATTCTCATGTTGTTACTTAACCCCTGTAATGGATTGCCTCATGGGCATCTTTTTACTTGCCCCAAAAAGATATTAATACCTGCAGTTATTATTTCTGTTGCAGCCAATTCAGTGAAAGTGGGCCCGAAGTTGGACTTCGGTGACACGTCCCCTGGGATCAGTCCAGAGAGCATCAAAACCTTCATCGAGAAACAAGAACCCAGCGTCAACTCAGGAGTGGTGAAAGCTATCCTTGAGGTGAAAGTGGGAGAGAGTGTCGTCACTGATAAACATCCAACCAATCCTGATGAGGAGGATAATAATGCAAAGACAACTAAAATTCTCCTGTGTAATCTGAAAAATGAGTGTAAAATTTACGAAATCGGAACGGGTGAAAGTTACGATGATGACAGCAAAGACGAGGGTGGCGATAGAAAGAAACTGAAGCCCGTCATTGTAACAGATTTTGATGAAGATCCTCTGAAAGACAATGAAAACGACTATGATCAAAAGACCGGTAAGAAACGACCTAAAGTTCCTGTGGTTGTGGGGTACAAAGGTGCCGTAAAGGACGATGGTTTCTCTTACACAGGGTACGGGTATGGACAAGGAATCGACAGACTTCCAGCATATTATGGCATGAAACTGAGTCCCGGGTTTCGTCAGCCTTATCCAGGTCCAATCGTGCACGAGGACAATCGGCCTTCACTTCCTCGCCCGGGTTCCAGCCACGGTTGGTACCCACTTTACCATAACTTACGCTGCACATACCCTCATTACGAACATCACTATCCACAATCCGACAACCGCGACTATTCAGGAGTCAGTCCGTACCTACGCACTTATTTTGCAGGACATGGACCGAGAACACCGTCGCCTTATGGAAATGTTCATCCTACCAGGAAGCCAGACAGTTTCCATGCCATAATCACGCCCCTTGGTACGACGAAGCCGGAAGTGCACTGGCCACGGAGCAAGCCTTCGGTTGCGACAGGAGTTTCGGCTGTCGCCGGGAAGACGCACTTCGACGAAGACGAACTGACTGTCGGTGTCATCAGTCCATTATACCCCGACTCAGGAAATGGCAATATTAAAATTGATGGGAAACTTGGGGAGCCATTGAATATGTCTGATTCATAATGAAATACGTAAGTGATGCAGTCGTAATCACATTGCGTATTATTTGTGTTCACATATGCGTTACATAAAATTGGCACATGTGAAACGTTTTGCCATACGTCGATTTAACTCCGTGGGATATAATTTTTGGAACTATTACATGCAAAGCTTCAGAATGAAATTATTTTATCAGTTGTTGATTAACCTTGGTATATCTAATAAAAGTACTTATAACATGCTTAATATTAGCAGTTGGTTGTTTCTCTGTCATTAAAACCATGAACAGATATCCTGAACTTCACTCTGTCCTTGGCAGCGAGGAAACTAGCAATGAAAATGACGAACATCCCTTGAAAAATGGACTTACCTTGATCCTGTGGCCGCCGACGTTAACCCACTTCAATCGCTTACATTTGATTACACGAGTCGTGTTTGACAAGACTCGAGCAGAACTGCACCACTCACAGAACACTTATACAACAGGCTTAGTGAGTTCTTCGTCATTCGGTATTGTCAATATGGAAACAGCTGTAAATTCCTTATGTAACAAAGAAGTATTTTCAATAACCTGCGTTTTGCCTTTTCACAGATCGAGAAGACACAAAATTGTCGGTTTATATATAACAACAATGAAGCACGTGATTTACAGGTCAGTGTACGAAATGAATGAATGAATAATTGAGACGTCATGCGTGGTCGAACGTATGCACGCGTAGTATTTAAGCCATTTCACAAATTCCGATGGAATTTTGTTATATGATAAAAAGACGGACCAAGTATCAGCTTGGTTCGTACCATCTCAGTAAAACCCTCAATTCAAAGCACAAACCAAATTACTTTCCTTTGAGAGAACAACCAGTTCTACGAACAGAAATACTTGTGTACCTTTATACGTAATTCAAGTTCAAAAAGACATACGCGCATGCGCGCACACATGCACACCCACGGAAATGGAGATCCACGTTAAGCCAGGAGTTATAATGGAGGCAGCAAGGAACTCTGAAACGAACGAAACTTCTACCAAACTACACGGCGCTACAACCCAGAAGACGGCCATCGTAGGACTCAACGCCGTGATAACTTCAAATCCTACTCATTAAGTACTTTGGAGTAATTAACAAATCGTGCAGATGTTGCAACACAGGGGCCAAGTATAGTTCAGGACCAAGATAAACAATGATTATTAATTCTGAGCATCGTGTAAAACATTACGAGGGTCTTAAGATGCTATCAAATAACAAAGTACTCCAGTTCGATAAAGGCGACTTAAAGAAAGTAAGGTAAAAAATATAAGTTCGCCTGCGACCAGCAGCGAACTCATACGATGTTCTCTGTAAACACATTACAGGCACTACAACGTCTTTCAAACACGGGATAAAAGTTTTGATTTCAGGTTTCCACTGCGATGAGTCCTAAGATGGCTGTCTTCTGGGCTGTAGCGCCGTGTAGTCTGGTAGAAGATTACTGACATTTCAGAGGTCCTTGCTGCTTTCATCATCGGAACGGTAAGTCATCGCCCTGATGATGGAGGCAGGACACTACACGGTGCTACAGTCCAGAACACAGCCATCCATGAGATGTAAAAATGTTTTCGCATCACGAGGATAAAACCAAGATTTTTCTTGTTGACTGAATGAAGGAAAATGTTTCGTGTGGCTTCCATACATGGTTCAACGATGGTAGGTTTGTATACTGAGATGAGTAAGTATGAGGATCTTCTACGGGACCTCCTTTTGCGATAACAGACAGGGGTTGTAGGTCTATTAATGAAAGCGTCTTAATCACTTTGACGTTTCCAAAGGAACAGACAAACTGGAAAATGTCTTTTAATACTCGACGAACATACCAGCTGCAATGAAGAGGCGACTTTGTAAACTTCAGAGAAAAATAACACTGTTCTGATAAGTTATGAGCCGAATGCACACAGGTCCCAAACACATCACACGTTTTATCATAGTTCAGAATGACTCAAATTACTTTTCTGAGTGGAATAAACAGCTATCGAATATCCCGGACAGCAACTTCCAGTTTCCCATAGTATTTTTAAACACGTGGGCCAAAACATTTGCACTGGGCATCTCCCACTGAGGTTGCTTTTAGTTTGTATAACAGTAAAATTCGGATGTCATTGACGGCCAGAGTGATCGTCCCACGTAAGCGAGACTTGGTAGTGAAAAAGTAAGGCACCAGACCGAAGCATTAAGTACAATTACGTACGTTTCAATGTGACTGAAATCTTCATGTGCCTAAATGTCTTGCAGAAAGTACATGATTCACAAGAACAGATCTGAGAACCTGCTGGTAGCCAATCAGCTCAACGCTGAGCAATTATGAACTCTCAAACTCCAGAAATATATCCCAGGATTAGGATCTATTTATTTAAATCACGTCCGAATTCAAGATGACTCCTTCCAAACATCGGGAACTTAACACTGGTTTTAGATACAAAACAGAAAGACAAAAATATCTTTAGATGCCTTACTAAGGGCTCCCCCCTACACTATTTACCTTGAAAGGTACAAATTGGTAAGTAAAATGCGTATTTTTCAGACAAAATCTTACCGGTATCGGAATACCAAAAAAAATTCTTTGAGGAGAAGGATCACTTTGTGTAGCGTCTGGATATTTTGCAGATAATACCATTCCAAATGACCTGCCACATATGTTTATTACATTATAACCTTCTGTGATTTATTAAGTGTTATTTACCTAGTGTACAAATATATTAAAATATTAGCAGTGATAGAAAGAAGTAAGAAATGTTGATTTCACATTATTACAAAAGAAAGTACTTCTAACACTTGAAATGCCAAAATTCAGATATCTCACTCAGATACATGATTCATTTGGTCTCGAATATATTTATTGTTTCTTGCCTTTAGGAATTTGAAATCGACTTATTTCGTTTCCATGGAAAAATACCAATGGAAATTTCAAATACTTCATACAAATATATATTTCTCCTTCAGAAACCAACATTATCAATTATTAATAGTGTTAGACCAAAATAAGGTACTAACTCAAGTCACTTTCGTGTGCAAAAAAATGTAACAGTGCAAATTGATAATAGCAAAAGTTCTGTAACAAGTCCTGCACGAACAGGACACCTCAGCAGCGGCACAGAGAAATCGGTCCCTTCTCCCGGTCACATTTCCCTGAAGTCAAAATACAGAACTTAACTTTGTGTGAAATGTCCTAACCTTTCTCGACATTGGCAACGAACAAGAAGTGCATCGATGATAGGCCTTTGTGCCGTGTCGCGGGACGCTCAAGTGTTTGCGTTAATTAAATCAATCGGCACATTAAAATATACAGGGGAAATTTCAGTTTGGTATTAAAATGGTCAATTTAATTTATTATTGCTGTGGTAAAAGTTTCTGACGTCAGTTTGCGATAATTAGAAAACAAAATACTGGACACGAAACAAGTTTGTTCTTTTGATAACGGGGATACTTATCCAAATGTAAGTTAATTTGTAAGAGCTAAAATGAATAGAAGTTCCTCATTCAAAACGAATTTTAGACACTAAAAAGCTTCATTTCGTCGCGTAAATTAAAGTACGACATTTTTTTCAAACAGAGCTCCAACAAATCATATATTGCTCACGGAATTATATCACAAATACTGCGTCTAAAATTGTTTTTATTTCCGATGAGAGAAGATTACGTTAAAAAAGCCTAAAATATTAATTCAGATACAAAACTGTTAAAACCTAGTCAGGCAGCTTTGAACCGGCACGCAGATTAAACCATATGCTCTGTTGATGGGTAACACGCCTGTCAATCGATTTATTTACCTTCTATGACATGACGTCTAGATTTTCCTACAGCAGTAACAAATATAAATCCAAAATTGCTGAGAAATGTTAAGCACGTGTCTAGACCTGTTTCTCTATTCCGCAGACATGAGGACTTATGTCATATTAGTTTCACTCTTACGGGTCACCAACGTGATACGTCGTGACCTTCCCGTTGTCGTTGATGACGGACGTAGCTTCCTTGGAACTCTTCCTGACTCCGTCTACGTCACTGCTGCTGCTTGACGAGAACGAGGACACAGAGAAGTTGTTACCGTCTGAAGGTGGAACGCTGCCCATCCGAGTCCCAAGCTCGGGATTACCTTGAGGGGGCGGTGAAATCGATACCGAACCAAAGCCACCTCGAGGACCTAAGCTGGCGGAGGCATGAGCAGAAACTGCACCGCCATCTGAGGGGACCCCACCGCTGCCACCATAATTTGTTGCTTCAGGGAACGCAAACCCATAGTCATTCGGTGCAGGATATGCAGCCCGACTGCTGATGTCACTAAAACCCGGAGCAAGTGAATCACTGGAAACTCCAAGGATTAGTTAACATTATAGCAGCGCCTACCAGAGGCAAGGAACAAACATTAGGAACAAAAATATAACAGTATTTATGTATATCCTCGGCGTGAATACAGTGAAATCGAAACAATAAATTAGTGTTATTATTTATCGCGCTTTCATTTTACAATTGTTATTTATTTTATTTAATTAGTGTTCTGTCTGACGACAGGTCCATATGAAAAGGATCCTTCCATCCTTTTCTCGGACTGGGACCTGTTCATGTACGTTCTTGGCAGATGATCCAGAAGTGGTTTGCCATTGCCTTCTTCTGTGTGTGAATGGAGTAATTGTTGGGATGCCACGGAGAAACCGGGGAAGCCCCCGGAGGAAAACTCCGTGTTGCCTACACCACGGCCTTGCCCAACACAAGTTATAAATTCGGGCACCGCCGGGAATCGAACCCGAGACCCCCAGAAATTATTTCCCATCCTGCTGGTCTGAAAGAAATACAGGCTTGCAGCATTACCATCGTTTCCATCCATGTCCGTTCGTCCGCCACGTTAATTCTTAAGTAGCCCCTCCGACATATTTTCATCAAAGCTGTTATACCGTCTGAGGCTTCAGGCAGGGCATTATATGGGGTGTTATCTGATATTTTACCAGAGGTTTCAGCTGAAATGCTATCCAAGGCCTCTGCTGGAACAATATCTGAGGCTTCAGTTATGAAACTACGCGAGGTTATGTCTGGTGTAATGTTCAACTTTTATATCGCGACGCTACATGAGTCTTTAGCTAAGATATTGCGTGAGGCTACAGTTAGAATACTATCTTAGGTTTTGGCTGGTACAATATCCGAGGCTTCAGCTAAGACAATGTCTGAGACTTCAGTCACTGCACTTAAATGTCGTGTCAGGTTAGGTTAGATAATGGCGTGGTCAGTCCTCCCACGAAACTCGCAAGTTTTAACGAGGGTTTTATCAGACGAGTTGCAGAATAGCATTTGACTTACTTTCATGAAATCCGATACAGATGCCTGAACTTAAATTACATAAATTGAAACTCAAAAGAGAATAACCTATTCCAAAATAATACACACGTTTCTTCGGCGTATTATAGAAATAATGAATTCGTTTCCTTGTTGCTGCAAGATCTAACAGTGAAACTGGTTTCGACACAATCTTCTTACACTAACCCTCGTCTGAAATCGGAAATACGAGGTCCAACATATAATACAAGTCCTTGCCGACACACAAATGCCTCGAGAAAAAGCGACATCCGAAATTATTAACTACGACAGTAATGAAAATTCTCATGTGTTCTTGAAGGGTCTGAAGGTAAAATGAGCATTGCAGTGTGAGTAATGTGTAGAAATGGGGCCCCATAACAGAAATCAATGGAGAACTGTTGGCAGAGAGGTAAGCGTACTATCGCACAAACCGGCATCGAAGTACCGAGCGCAGGATGATAGTACACCGCTCTCCGGATATACCGCGTGTCTTACTGCCTGACACTGCCGTTGGAAATAAATTCCGAGGCAAATATTAACGTTCTTTTGAAAATATGATCTTGCAAAAACGATTATCCCGTAAAAAGAAACAAAAAAATACAGACTTTTTAAAAGAAGTGATCAAATAAATTACTCAGATTTTTTTACAATTATCTATTGCTACATGTTTTTTGTGAACATAAATATTTTTTTAAAAATTCGTTTCTTCACACATTAGTATCAACCCTTCCCAAGTGGATTTTTTTGGTCTGCAAGTGGGATTAAAAAAATTAATGCACGGAATAGAGCGACGTAAATATCGCAAATATGGTCGCATTTCACTCGCGTATATATTCGGAGTCCGTTCGGAGCGAAAATCAATGAATTGGGAAAAAAATTGTGGGCATCGGTTACAGCGCGGTTGTCTTATAACGCGGGTCAACCCCCCCCCCCCCCCCCCCCCCCCCCGGTGTACGTAGAAAGCTCTAGTAGATGGCGCCTGTCAACTGTTGAATTGCAGAAGTGGAACAGGAATGATAAACCCCCCAAGCAATTCACGATTTTCACAGAAACTCCGTGGTGCAGTGTAATAATTGCTTAAAATTTAACCCACAACTTCGAAATCTGTTTCTCCAAGATCCATTTGTATCATCTACGTTACTAATCAGCCCCAAGCGCTTGTTTCTCGAGGCTGTGGACATATAAATGGAAAAGAACCAAATTTTATTTAGAACATATATACACAGGGTTCGCCACAGTGGTCTAGCGGTCAGAACACTAGCCTTGTAAGCCTGGGGTCCCGGGTTCAATTCCCGGTGGTGCTCAAATTTATAACTTGTGTTGGGCAAGGCCGTGGTCTAGGCATCACGGAGTTTTCCTCCGGGGGCTTCCCCGGTTTCTCCGTGGCATCCCAACAATTACTCCACTCACACACACAGAAGAAGGCAATGGCAAACCACTTCTGGAGCATCTGCCAAGAACGTATATGAACAGGTCCCAATCCGAGAAAAGGATGGAAGGATCCAGGCTTATAACAGACTGGACATATTTTGTTATCCCTGAATTGCTTGCCTATAAAATGTTTAATGAAGCTTAAATGTCGTTTACAACGAGAAAATTACTCTAGTATTTTGTCATTGATACCACGTCTCATCTTCGTCTGTTCAACGTCGAGTAGCAAATGGCGAATGACATTTTTCTGGGCTGATCAACTATTGCCCGCATTTGGAATTCCAAGAAAATACCTGATTCACATCAGCGGGTTTCGAGACGATTATAACAGCTGTTTGCACTCTTTTGTTTCTTCTGCGAACCTTAAGGCGGGCATAGTACAGAATGTTCAATCCCGCACCCCGATAGAGACAGCAACGCATTTTTTTTTATATGCGAACAAAATTAAAGCTGAGATCGGCAGATGTGGGTTACCGAGACCTGTAGATTCAAGGCCTCTTTCGTAAGGCAAAGCTTCAGGAAACAGAGCGAAATCTTATCTGTGACTGCCGGAAGTAAGTTATCATGAGTCACTTCCGGTTATCCTGTGCAGAAGCGATCTTCAGCACAGGGTGAAAATCCCAGTCAGATTTGGTGAAAGGCGAATCGTACCTAGAAGCAGAACTAGCGTGACCTCTCGGCAGAGTCAGACAAGTTATGTTGTAACCTGCACGAACAATAGAAGGTCTGTGGCCATTAGTCGGACGTAAACTGTGTTGAAGTTCTACACACAGCTCGAAACTGAACATAAAACTACACACAAAATTCATAATTTTTTAACAAACATACTTAATAAGATTTTTGGACGTCGCAATGCGTTTTCATATTCAAGTCGAAAAATAAATACAGTCCTATTGTAGTCCCAAATTTATATCTGGAGATGTTTTAACAGTTACACGCTAATTTTAATTTAAATATCGTATTTTCAAAAATTCTAGGTCAATGGTCAAATTTGAAGCCCCGGAAAACATAACTGTGCTGAATATATTAGTGTAATAGTTCATTGTATAGACCGTTTTGTGAGCTTTAAAATGAGCATAACATGAACTACGAATCTCAATTAGGGCGAAACTTGGGCGACTTTTTCCAAAACAATAGCGCGCAGAAACACCGCTGAAGTGACATATCCGGCCCTATTTCTTGCCACGGAGGCTGAACAGATGTGCGTCGGAGCGGGGCCAACTGCACATCTGGGAGAGAGACACTTCTAGTCTCGTAATGACTCACATTTACGGTTACCTTCCTCGGTACAGCTTCGCCTTCTTGCAAACCTAACTGTGCAGAACGCTGCACCAAGTGTTTGCACTTACTTCGTGGCGTAAGCCTGCTGCTGTGCTAGGTGCTCCATGAAGGTCAGATACTGCTGGAACAGCGAGTTGAAGTCGGCTGGCTGATACCCCACGTAGGGGCTCTGAGCCCCGTACCCGTCAGCTCCCGGGAACGCGAAGCCGCTAGGGTTCACAGAGTTGTAACCTGCGGGGTGGACAGAACGCATGCCTTAAAAACAAAACATCTACTGAGATATTTAAGGTACAAATCGTGTTTATACCGTTCTTGTAAATATGTCTTAAGCCCATGCAAATCCTGTTTCGCTTATGACTTCTGTCACCGTTAAAATTGTATTTGAGTTTCAAGTAAATCAGCGGTCATTTCGTACCGATGGACTAGGATCAAATGTTCCGACGAGTTGCATCGTAATCTCACGTACGTCCGTATTGGTCGAGTGTTTTCGGATAAACGAACACTAGATGGACCGCATACAAGTTAAAAGTGCGATGCACCTTCGAGGAACTTTTGATCAGCTGAATGGCAGTCACCACTGCAGCTATCGCACCTAGTGTCCCGTCGGAGTACCCGCCCCTGCCACTGAAGCCGGAGCTTGAACCAGAACCACTCCCGCTGGACGCGAAAGAAACAGCGCCGGATCCAGACTTGGAAGCTGCGGGGACGTCGCGACGCCTCCGAACCAGAAGCCAAGGGTAAACAGGCACGTCCACCAGAAATCTGTGACCTTGAAGAAGAAGGGATACAGTAAGAGGCACAAATATGAAAAAGGCGTCGTTGATGAAAAGCTTGGAAAGGGTGCGTCAAATTGAAGGCGTCGCAAAGTAATGTTCGTAAACAAAACAACGCGACATCACACATATCGTCTGTAAACATTTATTACTGAAGTCTGGACGAATCTGTGCGCTCAAGATCCATTAGAAATAGAAAGCAATGGGATCAGAGAGGGCGGAGGGGTAAAAGAAACAGGGGGACGTAAAATAATACACAGCCAGAATAGTGAAATGGGTGATAATCAACTTGTCGCTACCGACTCCGTTCTTCATAAAACTATTTATAAAAATTAACGTTGATCAAATACAAAATTCCGTGCAAAATGATATTACAGCGCCCTTAAGTATTCTGGAACGTGTTTTAAAAAAATTTCAACATAAAACACGTCTGGGGAAGGAACTTGGCACATGTCACCAAAAAAAATGGCCAAGAAAGACAATTGATAAGCTTGATTTTGAGAAGTCTGCGATTTGTTGAACGATAAACAAATTTCATACTAAAAAATATGAGCGTCGTTACGTGCACTCATAAAAATTATTGTCAGTGGCGGACTGTGGGGCCCTTAGGAAAATAATTACGGATTTAGGTTTCAGGTGGAAAAACTGTAAAATAATTGATAAGTTGCAATCGAAGAGAATATTCGTGCAGCAAGAATAGCATTTTTGTAAAGTTTAAGTCGTCAGAGAGAGAAGGGGCGTGCTGTCATCCACAGGGATGAAACGTAAATTCACTTCGCACACAAAAGACAATGCCTAGAGTGACGGTGGGGACGCCATCTTCTTGGACCAGTCTGCAAAGGGCAGCGAAGCATCGTCGTTGGCGGTGAGCATGGCGTAATTCCAAATGTTTTAATCGGGGGAAAAATCCGGAGATTATCATCGCGAAATGAATTTTATTAACGATGAAATTCAGGTCGAAACAGAGTTAATTCCAGATTTTCAGACAAATTCAGTGTCAGTAATGGATGACAAGAGCCACGGTGGTCTAGCGGTTAGAACGCTGGCCTTGTAATCCTGGGGTCTCGGATTCGATTCCCTGCGGTGCCCGAATTTATAACTTGTGTTGGGCAAGGCCGTGGTCTAGGCAACACGGAGTTTTCCTCCGGGGGCTTCCCCGGTTTCTCCGTGGCATCCCAACAATTACCCCATTCACACACAGAAGAAGGCAATGGCAAACCACTTCTGGATCATCTGCCAAGAACATATATGAACAGGTCCCAGTCATGACAGCGCAGCTTATCATGCAATCTGGAAAAAGTGTAAGTATCGATTGTCTCTCAGATCGTGACGTTCCTTAATGTGTAAGCCCGAATCCACTTTCCGCCATATAATCCAGATATTAATCCGGCTTAACTGATATGGGCGTCTGTTAAACGCAGAAAGAACGCGTGTTTACGCCTCGATAATGCTGTGAAATTGGATGAGGAAAAGTTCATTATCGTAACAATGGAATAATGGAACTCGAGGTGTAACAATGCCCGTCAGCGCGAACAGAATTACTTGCGGCTTAAACCTATTATTGACGTATCAGAAGCACAAAGCGACATTGATAACACCAGTAGTAACAATAATTAGTAGAAGGAAGAATGAAGTACAGAAGAAGAAGACGGATAACTTGAATAGAAGCTTTGTAAAATGTTCACCAGCCACTGGAAATAATTCAATCTGTACAAATATTTGGTCTTTGTGACTGAGGAAAGTCCTTCGCCTACGTTCGTCACGAGCAGCGTCGATACCCTCCCTCCCTCCCTCTCTCTCTCTCTCTCGTATAACTCGCGATCTGCCCAACGCCTTGTAAAGTTTAGAACAAACATCAAGTTCAAAATGCAGTAGTTTTCCTGCCAACAAAGAATCGATAACTAAACGAGACATCGACCGTCAGCATAGCACACCAGCGGTTCAAGGTCATATCCAATGGTGTTTTTCTGTGTTGGTCCCTCCGGTGAAAGTTTATTTAATTACAGAAGATGAATACAGTTCATGGATGTCACTGTTGTTTCAGCCATGTCCAATTGGCAGACACATTGGGAAAAATAGATTTTGTTGGTGGATTTTTGAAACACGTCTCGGGACGGCTTTGGAAGCCAAGCGTAAAAGTGAGGTTAGAATTAAAATATATATAAACGAAAGAGATGCGGAGATGTGAATTTGAATTTACTGTCTCGGTGTAAACGTCAACATCGGGTTCTTGTAACTCAAGAATATTTTGGGGTCTCCGTTAAAGGCAAGTAATTCTTCATCCGCGATCTAGACGTTGTCTGCCAGGGTATTCCCGTGAAGAGCGATACTTATCCGTTAAGTCTCAGGTCATGACGTCACTTCCACGTCACATGAACGTGTTCCAAGGTGACTCGCATGTTTACTCAATTCCTAATTGCTCCCAATGTAGGAATGACGTATGTTGATCTCAACAAATGAGCAGTTTCAGCTCCATAAAATGTCACAATTTAAATGTTCTGGGAAGACGGTAAAAAAAAAGTGACAGTGGAACCACGGTTCCGGAGAATCTGATGTAAATACGTCTATACGGAAAGGAAGTTTATATATTAGATTTAATTACAACAATATTAACAACAATGCCGAGTAAACAGATGACGTTTCTTAGGTAACATAACAATGCACGCAAGCTGACCATTGTTGTCGATCCATATTAACACATTGTTGATATGGATCTTACACGTTTTCCTTTCACTTTTTACCGAATGACCCTTCCGTATAGATGTATTTACGTAAAAAAAACTATGGACAAATAACACTGAAGTGTCCACATTAGATTGTATACAGTTGTAATGCTGTAATTGACTTCGTTCAAAACACGCAACAAGTAACACAGGCCAGATGAGAGGCCTCTTTGAAGTTCACTCCACAGGACAATTTCGTATTTGTTATATTCACAAAATAAATTCGACTGTAAAATTCGTCTGCTTATGCCTTTTTAAAGGTAAAGAACTCAGCTTATCTGGTGACTGTCAAAGCAGTTTTGTTGACCTGGAAGCAATATGAACTATGAACATAATAGTTGTAAATAGCGAAGTTACAAAACACAAATATTACTAGTAGAGAAAAGTATAGATAATGTACATGCCTTTGTGTTTATTTATATGATAAATAATAAACATGAAGCTATAATAGGTGCAGTAAACTCTACTCCGAGTGTCTTTATCCAACGCGGATTGGATTACGCGCGTAGAAATGAATGCCAGCATTTGTTTTCGAACACGTCAAATTGGTTCATAGCACCGTAAGAAAAATGTCAGTCCTGTTTTAAAAAGCTGAAGACGGCTCAGCGTCTGCACGTGTATTTGTTAAACCACTTCGCTTTGTTTTATTAAGCACACGTAACAGTGTAAATATTTAGCTCGATTGCCTTCGCCTTTCAATCTCTGGCTCGCTTACTCTGCTACCGCAATAATTTATGTCGTATTGTTGCAATTTTTTGACGTAAATACGTCTATACGGAAGAGTTATCCGGCAAAACGTGAAAGGAAAACGTGTAAGATCCATATCAGCAATGTGTTAATACGGATTGACAACAATGGTCAGCTTGCGTGCATTGTTGTTACCTAGGGAACGTCATCTGATTACTCGGCATTGTTGTTAATATTGTTGTAATTAAAGCTAATTTATAAACTTCCTTTCCGTATAGACGTATTTACGTCAGATTCTCCGGAACCATGGTTCCACTGTCAACGTTTTATCGTTCATAACATTGCCGCTGGACTGCATTATGGAGTCAACACGTAAATGAAAAAAGCAAAGAAAATCCCAAGGTTATGGTTGGAATTCCCTGGCCAAGAGTCTTGAACGCATTCAGAAAAATAGTTTGTTTAATTCAAGATAAACGTATAAGCCTACAAATGCTTCGTTACCTGCGTTTTGCAATTATAAACAGTTGGTATCAGGATTTCACACTTCGTTAACAGGCAACAAATATCCTTCTGTTCTAAGCTAACAATGAGCTTTGTAGCAGACCTGCTGTTAATATGTCTGGTAAGAGACTTTTTCAAGCCACATTGTTTGTTCAAATCTATCCGTCGATAATTGCCATTTTTGGTACTTGATGCAATATTATGTTAATGTGAGCATTGTCTTGATATATATTTTTTTCTCATGCTGACTCAGTAATTAGCTCTTGGACCTGTTCAGATACACTTCACAATAAAGTAGTGTTTTTAATTCACAATGCTAGAATTGTACGTTTTGATGCTTTCACGGCGGTGAGTCTGAAGATGGCTGTCAATTATTTTCTGTTTACGCGCCAAGTTTTCTGGATACCCTTATGCCTAATTTTCTAAAAAAAAGTTGACAGTGGAACCACGGTTCCGGAGAATTAGACGTAAATACGTCTATACGGAAAGGAAGTTTATAAAACCATATGAACCGGATCCTTCCCTCCTTTTCTCGGACTGGGACCTGTTCATATACGTTCTTGCCAGATGATTCAGAAGTGGTTTGCCATTGCCTTCTTCTGTGTGTGAATGGAGTAATTGTTGGGATGCCACGGAGAAACCGGGGAAGCCCCCGGAGGAAAACTCCGTGTTGCCTAGACCACGGCCTTGCCCAACACAAGTTAAAAATTCGGGCACCGCCGGGAATCGAACCCGAGACCCCCAGGATTACAAGGCCAGCGTTCTAACCGCTGTAAGGTAAGGTAATGTAATGTTTTATAAGTAACAACAATGCCGAGTAAACAATTGACGTTTCCTGGGTAACCAGGTTACACTTTTTCATTTCCGTTTTTCGTTCCCCTTTTTTGCCGAATGACCCTTCAATATAGACGTATTTACGTCAAAAGAAAAAATAAACTCGATATTTGTCCTTGCCAAGAAGAATTTTTACTTCGAAGCACAAATTCAATTTCTTTCGGACTCTGCATAGTTTTACAAGGAAAAAGTCTTTACATATTCCCGCTGTTATTTCTACGACGTGCCGTTTTCTTAGACACAGGAATAAAACAGACAGACTGGTTCTGGCTCTCATGTAATATTATCATCATCGTTAAACAATGCCTTTGACGAGTGAACAATCATTTGACATAAGCGAGCTTCGTTTATTTAAAGCCTGCCTGGTACATTTCCTGACCTCAGTTACGCAGTTGGTATTCCAAGGCCGTCCATGTCGCATGTCTGCTGTCCCTACGAAGTTTACAAAGGGGGGGGGGGGGGGGTGCAGAACAGCCTTGGACCCTGTACGCACTTTCTGCAAACAAGTATCGAACATCGGACTCACAGATGGAACAAAACGTAGAACCTAGAAGCATTACTACGAATTCGCAATCAGTAAAATGGCAGTCCTGTTTTGGCGAATAATGCTTTGATGTACATTACAAATTATTACAGAGAGCCATCGATTGGTAAGGATTCACGTGATCAAGAAAGGGTAAGACAAGGCTAAGCCATCTGACACTGCTCTTTAGCCAGCTGATTTCTGTTTAATTTTTTGTTACTAGTAAATTAATAAGAAGAATTTATCGAGAGTCGCTGTCACCTGCTTTTTATTCGGAAGGTCCTGCCTTCAAATCTGGGCCCTGGTGACACCTATCTCGACTTCGGTTGTACGCGGTTTTCCAAACAACTAATAGTCTTCTTCACTTCCTTGCCCACAGATGAACAGCCTCCCGAGATCCACAATCATAACAAAACACAGCTGTGTGAGTACAAACTCAGGCAAATGCCTCTAACTACGTTCCAGACACGAGCTAATCTGCAAAAGGGGCCGTTTTCAGACTTCTTATTTATTTACGTACTATTTGTGGTCACAAGACGTGTCCTCACAGTTACGAAAGACAATACCGCGTATGTGAAATCACTGCGAGCCACCGAACACTTCAGCACGACTGAATCCGCCAAGACAAAACACCATCTTACGTAACACTTCCCTTTCCGACTGAAATCACACTCGCCATTGAGAATACAGCGCGTCAACCAAGGCTGCTTCCTTCTGCACTTTGAAGGCAGACGCTAATTAACCCGAGTAATTATAAATGTCACGTCTTCAGTTCTTGGGTCGCTCAATGCCATCAGAACATTTATAACATAATTAACTACCTTACCAACTAGTTTGATGTGTAATTAATGCAAGCAGGAAAGCAGAGGACGTTTCAGAGGTCCTTGCTGCCTCCAGCATCGGGGCCATGAGTCATGATGTAGGCAGCAGGGACCTCT